TTTTTCTTTCTTTCTTCTCTCTCTCTCTCTCTCTCTCTCTCTCTCTACTTCTCTCTCTCTCTCTCTCTCTCTCTCTCTCTCTCGATCTTTTTCTCCACATCCCTTAATTATCTCTGGTTAATATCACATACTATCGTCATTCCTGCGACAGAACACGTAAAAACTACTCTCTCTCTCTCTCACACACACACACATATACTCTCTTTCTCTCTCTCTTTCTCAAGAATAAACTATCATACGCAACAGTATGTACAAATGCTGCAGCCTCGCGCAAATCAAATACAATAACGCATAATTGTCACAGGATTATACAACGACGGTACATTATTGGCAAGTACGTACCCGCTATGATAATGATGATAATAATAATAATAATAATAATAAGTAATGATAATAATAACATTAGCAACAACATCGCAAGCATACAACATCGCCATTGGTTAATACTCGCCTCTCCTCCTCACCCTCAAAATAATCCTCCGACGAATACAACTAAAGGCAAACAATTCACCCACACTCATCGCCGTTCGAGGCTATCGCGCTTCGATCGTTTAAATCGTCAAACTCTCATTCTCCGTACAATTTCGTCTCCTCTTTCGTTCGAGTTTTTCCCTTCCCACAAAGAGGACAAATGGGACAAGGCGTACGAAGCGAACGAAATGTAAACATACCCCGCATACCCCGCCGTCCTTCTAAACCTTGCGTGTCGTCCTTCGCTCGTTGCGGTGAAAAAAACATGAAGAACGTTGGCGGGCGAACGAACCAGACGCCGGGGAGAAGCGCAAGATCGAGGTATTTTTTTTTTTTTTTTTTTCTAGTAAAGCTTGACGAACCTTAGCTCCATGTTCCGGTGCTTTGCTCTAATGTGCCTGTACACGGCCTGGGTATACTTGCTGCGCATATCGCAATGGGGGCACTTGAAACGGGGCAGATCGACGCACTCGAGCCTGTAGTGGCGGCTCATGCCGCCCGAAGTGTGAAAGGTACGGGCGCACCTCGGGCACGGGAACCCCCGCCGGTTAAGGGACGTCTGTAGCCTGAGCATGTGGCGAGAATTTCGCACGACACCGTGGTACTTTCCCAGGACAATTGGTCTGAAGTCTGTAAGCAGAAAAAGAGACGAGGATGGGCCGTTAGAGAGAAGTGAAAGCCGAGCGACATCTATCACCTTTTGCGACTACCGATACAGTCGGCACGGGTGACCCAGACGGGTGGCGGAGAACTAAAGGTTAAAGCGAGTTGCGGGACGAGATTATTTTTTTTTCTTCTTTTTTTTTTTTTTTTTTTACTTGATCTTTGATGGAGTTTTTTTGTTTGTTGTAAGTTTAGTCACTTTTTCTTGTTTCAAACGATATCGTTTCTAACGCTCTTTTTCTTTCTTTTTTCTTTTTAGAGAGATTCGTTTCATAGTTAAGACGAGACTTCGATGACGTTAATGTATTCGTGAGATGATCTTGAGATATTGTATAGGTGTATACAAAAATATCGGATATAGACTTATTTATAAATTTACGTTAAGTTAATAAATAAGCATACAACCGACACTTTTGTACATCAATTTTTCTTTCGCTCTTCAAAAATGTTCCACAAACATTAACAATGAGCGAAAGAATACATATTACAATGCAATTAGATTTAAATTAGTTATATTTGTAACTCGTTGATCTAATTTATCTAATTAACCTTATTGCTTATAATCTTGGATCGATATTAATTTATTTTTAGAGAGAAATTGAACGATATCGATCGAAACTGAAAAAAAAGTCGCTAAACCGAAGATTTACATTAATCTTTTGGGAGGATCGAAACAGCAACACGTTGCGTTCATCGCGAACGTATCACTTCGAAAGGAGAGAGAAGCTTGGTTTTGTTCGCTAGGTACCTAGAGTTTATTTACAGGAATACAATAGACTCCATCGTTTGGAGACGCGCGAGCCATCTAGCGGAGTCACCTCAGAATCCAGGTTCGAATCTTCACCTCGTTTCATGTGAAATATATCGAGCAATGTCCAACTTTTTATTTTATACGTTGAACAAGCATTGACACAATCTTCTGTAAACTATATACATTCGATACAGAAGATTCGTCATAACCTCGAAATCGAGATGTCTATTTGTTCGTTTTTCAGAATGAAAAACACGCGTAACCCAACGCACTCGCGAAGACGTGCCTCTTCCACGATCGCTCATTATCCAAATCTCGTCGAAAATCCAACAGACGAATTTCTTGCTCGACACGGACACTTCACTGTATCTGAAATGAAACAGATGGGAATGGCCGTTAATCGAACGAACACACTCTCTACACACTCTCGTCTTATTACCTTCCTGGAAAAAGAAAGAAAAACCGGCGTTCTCCGACCACTCTGATCGACCGGCTGAAAATTCCCGAGGGTGGGGAGGAGGGAGGGATTATATGATCGTTAAAGAAATGAACTTGAGATGAGAAAATTGACCTGCTTCTTCGTCTTCTTTGCAAATTTTATTCGTTCGAAACGGACAATTTCGGACAAGAACAATTGTGCGTCGTCTACACGTTCGTTCGATCGATCGATCGATCGAGAGGGGGAAGGAACACAGCAATTCGAACGTCGGAATCGTGCCTTCGATCTCGCGAGAGAGAAGGGGAAGGAGGGGGGACGAGGAGGGCTAAGAATATCGACGTTCCATTCGATTCCAGACAGATCAATAGAGCTTGACGAGGGTGACGGTCTCCTTCGGATGCATACACCTGATATGTTGATAAACGTTGGACGTCTTCTTGCTGCACAGGGTGCAGTAAGGGCACTTGTACCTCGGCGCCTTGCCGCACTCGTATCTAAAGTGGCCCAGCATAGTGTCCCGCCTCCCGTATCCGTTGTTACAGTTTGGACAGTGAAATTTGCCGGTGAACGAGTTGTACAGCATGTCCCTTCTTCTCGCGTACTTCCTCGAGTGAGCGACAAGGGGGGGGTGGTCGTCGTCGTTGTTGTCGTTGTCGTCGTCGAGTCGGTCACCTACAAAACATCGTATCACGGTCAGGATCACGGTCGAGGCCAGCCACGACGACGAGGTTGTGCGTCGACCACCACTTTTGCTCTCTCTTTTTTGCTCAAACATCGGCTCAAATCGGTCAATTCGAATTGAAGAGAGAAAAGAAAAACGAGGGGAAGAAGAAAAAACACTGGGGATCATGCAAAAAAATGGGACGTTAGCAGAATGAAGAGAGAGAGAGAGAGAGAGAGAAAGAAGAAAACGGGAGGAGAGTACATCGACCAATGCAATATCAATACAACGTGTCAAAGCCGATTTTCGCTGTTCGTGGAGAAAAAGATATATCGTCGAAACACGTGTGTATGTATTCTCCTTGTTTTTTTTTTTTTCAAACAATAAAGATTTTTTATTCTCTGAGAACAAATTCTTTCTAACAGATCGGGCCGGGTTTCACGCAAGATCGAATTGGATATCTGGCTGGCTCGGATATCTCCGTTTTTCCCAGCACCCATTCAACTACTTTTTTCCAGTTTTTCACGCGGCTACGCTTCCGTGAACGAAATCTGTTTAATCCAATTCGGTCGCAAAAACCTGATTAAAAATTCTGGTCTTTAGGGGGAGAGGAAAAATTTAATTTTCAAGACGGTGAAACGAATCCTCAAGAATGTCTTTTCTTGAGAATCTACGCCAGAAACTTTGAGGATTGGTTTCACGAAAAGAAAAGGGAAGAGTTTTTCGAACTTTTTTTAACTTTCAAATTTTTCGAGCCCGCCAAGATTTTTGCGACCAAATTTATGGAGAAATTTATCGTGGGACGAAGTCGCGTGCGAGACGATGACAGACCGTGGTTGTCTTAAAACAACGTGTTGCAGATGACCGGCTTGGACGGGTGCTTGTGCCTTATGTGATCCTGGATGTTGAACTTTTTCTTGCTCAACTTGCCGCAATAAGGGCACTCGAAACGTGGCGGTTTTCCGCAATCGTACTTGAAGTGGGCCGTCACCGCGCTCTTGGTCGTGTAACTCTTTCGACAACGTGGACAAGGGAATCGGGTTTTACTCTTTCTCGAGCTTCGCTCCGTGTACTTGTCCTCGACCCAAGGTAGCGGCAACATTTGCAGAAACGCTGTAAACAAAAAACGGGAGAGAAACGATTAGATCGAATCGGTTAACTCTCGAGTTAGTGAAGCTCCTCGATTCGAAATCTCATACTTCGTTGCTTCTCTTTTCTTTTCTTTTCTTTTCCACGCTTTTCTCATCGTCAATTCTCTTCGTACGTGAACGTTTTCTCCGCTACAGTTTCTTGCTTGCTTTACGCTTCGAAAGCGAGGAGGAAGAAGGAGAATGTTCGCGTTGCGGTGAAGAGGAGGAAGAGGAGAAGGAGGAGGAGGAAGAAGAAGAGGAGGAAAAAGAACAAGAAGACGTGTAAATAATACGGGATAGAATGAAAGTGAATGAGACATTACGACTTTGTATGTAAAGGGAGAGAAGGATGGAGAGAACGCGATAATTGTGCTTTTGCAGGCTCACACACACATACACGCGGGCGAAACGCGATATTTCTCGCCTTTATTATATATATATATATATATATAGTTATTATAGGACAAACAAGTAAAGCGGTTTTTTTGAGCAGGCATCTCTCAAGCTGTAGTATGTATGGTACGTGGAACAAAATTTGATTACTCGAAGAATGGCTAGATGGAGAGGATTCCTCTCCATCGTCGTTCCTCACTTGTTCGACTTCTTTTCGATTCCGCCAAATTCTTTCTCAAAACCTGTAACATCAACTATGTTAATCACAAGCTCGGATTCGCTTTAGATAAGAATAAAATTAGAGAAAGATACGTGATGGTGTGGTGATTGGTTGTGGTTGGGCAAAAGTCAGAACAAACTCGTTGTGTATATATATATTTTCTTTTCTTTTCTTTTCTTTTTTTTTCTCTCCCTTCAAATCCAAATATATCGCACGCTTTATTGTTTTTTCTTTCTTTTTTTTTATATCCAATTGACGATCAACAATGACGAAACGAAGAAGAAGAGAAAGAAAGAATGAATAATGAATAAGAAGGTTCACAGTTGATCGTAATGAAGCACGACGATCTCGAGTTTCGATCCTGGATGTTTGATACGTATGTGCTTGTAAACGTTGTTGGACTGCTTGCTCCTCATCCCGCAATACGGGCACTGAAATCTGGGCGGGCTGCCACACTCGAACTTACAATGGCGCAACATGTGATGCAAATGGCGGTAGCTCCTCGCGCACTTTGGACAAGTATACCTGATGCATCGTATCATCGTATTACATGAAAAATTCGCCTATAGAATAGAATTTTGCGCGCGGCACGTGACGACACGTTTCACGGGGGCAATTTTTCGGAAATCGGTCGTAACTAGACGGGGGGGAGGGCGTTGAAAACTGACCTATCGTTATCGTTGCTCCCCTGCTTGCTCCCTAGACGACGATAACATTGTTGACGTTCCAATTGCTGGGAGTGATCCGCGCGATAATGGAAGCTCGACGACGGCGGATAGTAAATCGTGCCTGAAACCACAAAGTGAGAGAGTATCGTGATGAAACTTGCTATTTTTTTTTTTTTGTTTAGTTTATTT